AGGCTGAGGCGGGTGTGGATCACCTGAGGTCAGGAATTTGAGACCAGCTTGACCAGTATGGTGAAACCCTGTCTTTAAAAAAAAAAAAAAAAAAAAAAAGACTCAGCTTTCTCCATGTGGCCTTGTCCCTAAGTGTTGAGTGCTGGGTTAGAAAAGCCACCTGTCACAAACATCTCCTGCCTTGAATGCATTTGCACACATGTGCGTGCACAGGCGAGTACACCCACACACACCTAAAATGACTTATCTGCCACCAACCCGGATCCAAACAAAACAGAAACTGACTAGTTCTTTCTATGAAAGCGTCACAGGAAATATCTATAGTGAGGGCCACATGCCCATCGAGGGAAAAAGAAAAACAGCCAAAAACTTTGTGAATATAAAACATAATAGATATCTTGGTTGAAAGATGCACATCAGATACTGAACTACATTTTTTAAGGAAAAGAGCCATCAATTAGTTTTAATGAATATTAATATACTTTAATTTCCAACACAGGGTGGGAAATAGAGAAGAAAAAAAAGTGACAGAGAAAAAGTTTTTTTAATGTTAGAAGAAATACCAGCCAATGTTTTGCCCTTGAAAAGAGACAAAGGGAAAAAAAGTCAAGAAGGAAGGAAAGGACGCGGTGGCTCACGCCTGTAATCCCGGCACTTTGCGAGGCTGAGGCGGGTGGATCACGAGGTCAAGAGATCGAGACCATCCTGGTCAACATGGTGAAACCCCGTCTGTACTAAAAATACAAAAAAAAAAAAAAAAAAATTAGCTGGGCATGGTGACGCGTGCCTGTAGTCCCAGGTACTCAGGAAGCTAAGGCAGGAGAATTGCCTGAACCCAGGAGGCGGAGGTTGCGGTGAGCCGAGATCATGCCATTGCACTCCAGCCTGGGTAACAAGAGCGAAACTCCGTCTCAAAAAAAAAAGAAGGAAGGAAGGAAAGGAAAGAGAGGAAAGTTGCGGAAACCCTAACATTGTGGTAAGATGCAGGACAGACCTTTTGTCATGTCGTACCAATCCCCTGGGCCACAGGCCTGTGGCTTTGTTACCAAAAGGAAGGGCGGGCCAGATGTGGTGGCTCACCGCTGTAATCCCAACACTTTGGGAGGCCGAGGCGAGCCGATCGCCTGAGGTCAGGAGTTTGAGACCAGCCTGGCCAACATAGTGAAACCCTGTCTCTACTAAAAATACGAAAATCAGCTGGGCATGGTGGCACACATCTGTAATCCCAGCTACTCGGGAGGTTGAGACAGGAGAATTGCTTGAACCCAGAAGGTGGAGGTGCAGTGAGCCAAAACCGCCGTGGCACTCCAGCCTGGGGGACGAGTAAAACTCCATCTCAAAAATAAAAAAAAGGAAGGGCAGCGTGTTCGGCAATTTGAAATCTTTTTTTTTTTTTTTTAACTTTTTTTTCTTGAGATGGAGTCCCACTCTGTCACTCAGGCTGGAGTGAAGTGGCACAATCTTGGCTCACCACACCCTCCGCCTCACAGTTCAAGCGATTCTCCTGCCTCAGCCTCCCAAGTAGCTGGGATTACAGGCACCCGCCACCACGCCCAGCTAATTTTTTGTGTTTTTAGTAAAGATGGGGTTTCACCATGTTGGCCAGGCTGGTCTTGAACTCCTGACCTCAGGTGATCTACCCACCTCGGCCTCCCAAAGTGCTGGGATTACAGATGTGAGCCACTGCACCTGGCCAGACACCTTTAACACTGACTTATTTCTTAATCATGACAGAGTAGACATGCCCTGTTTTAAAAGAAAATCCAATCTATGAGAACGCTTATTGAAAAGACAGAAGTATCCACAGGTAATGACTTATCTGCCTATGTGAAGGTTTTTGTTTTTCCCCCTCTTTACAAAAGAAGTCACCTCAGTAAATCTGTCAATTGCATGACGAAAATCCCCCCTGCAGCAAAAAATTTAGATTTTCATAAAACTCTTCGAGAACCCATCTGTCACAAACATCAGTAATTAGTTCTTTTACATTACTTTATTTGTGACACCCAGAGCCTCACGACTGATGGAATCATCCTGTCTTGACTTTCATCCCTTCATTGGTTCAGAGTTTGTTTCCTAGACAATGCTGCTGAAAAGAATTCAGCACTGAGGCCGGGGGCAGTGGCTGATGCCTGTCATCCCAACACTTTGGGAGGCCAAGGTGGGCGGATCATCAGGTCAAGACATCGAGACCATCCCGATCAACATGGTGAAACCCCGTCTCTACTAGAAATACAAAAATCAGCCGGGGGGGTGGTGGCGTGTGCCTGTAATCCCAGCTACTTGGGAGGCTGAGACAGGAGAATCGCTTGAACCAGGGAGTCGGAGATTGCAGTGAGCCGAGATCATGCCACTGCACTCCAGCCTGGCGACAGTGAGACTCCGTGTCAGAAAAAAAAATAAAGGAATTCAGCACTGAGTGGGGTAGGGCAGGAAATGAGGGATTATTGCCTGGGGACACTGAAGAGAAAAAGGAAAAAAATCACTTACCGTTCTACCTAGACGTGGCTCCTCTTACAAAGGAAAGAGGCCAGAGAAGTACAGAAAAGCTCTGGGATATAAGGGTGTAGGGATGAAAGAGGATCTTCATCCCCATCCTGGGTTGATACTGAGAGCCATTTTCATAAACACATACACCTTCTCTCCCCCCGTGAGACACACACACCACCGAGAGTCCTACCACATGGTACACAGATGTGGTTTTGTGCTTTCCTCTCGGCTACACCCACCCATGTGCACAAAGCCTCACCTAAAAAAGCACTGGTCTGTAGAGACACAGGAAATAGCGCACATATTCTCTCTCTCTCCCTCTGGGTGCCCCCACAGGTATACTCGGCAGCATTCAAATGACAGGTAGTTTTTCTATGGCTGGGAAAGAAAAAATGCTCAAGTAAGCAAGAGAAGGTGAGGCGTGGGAGGAGAGAATGGGTAGAAGAAAAAGAATTTGTGTGGGTTGAGAGCCAGTGAGGATGGCCAGCCGGAGTGACCTCACGATGCTAGCTTTACTTCCCTCTAAGTATTCCAAGACACCCCGGGCTCTGCAGAACATGTGGGTCTCCAGCCTGCTTGGAGATATTCATTTCACTGCTCATTAGCACCTCCACCAGACGTACAGGCTGAGAACAACCATTGCTCACAGCAGCCAGAATGACTACTGAAATGTGACGAGATAGGGGCAAAAACCAGACAGAGGCTTAGAGGAGGCTCTTTAAGCTACTTGGATAAATTTTAAAAGGTAAAATTGTTTGCTTGTAGACAGACCTCTTTCTCCCATGTCTGCTGGCTGTTGTTATAATGATTCAAGAGGCAGTTTATATGCGACAAAAGACCACACTGAAGGAAGAGAAGAATCTACTCTCCCAGTGCCCCTGGCATTCGAGTCCATGAGTTTAGACCCTACGGCCCACAGGGCTGTTCTCACACACTCCTGCTCTGTGGTCAGAAGAGGACCCCACCCCAGGGAGAAGGACCCTCCGATGGTCTCTTAGGGAACCCTCAAATCACTTTTTTTCCTACTCTGATAATTATAGAGTAGATTGGAAAGTGTAGAGAAATGCCTTTGTGGTTGATGAAATCGTAAGAAGGAAAATGGGTTGTCTCCTTCATAACTAGTAAAGACTTGGGAAGTACTCTTGGTAAGAGCAAGACATAAACATCACAAATCTAAAACTCCAAATAAACACCAAGATTTGAATTTCTAAAGATTTATAAGCAGCATTAATAATACCCTAGAGGATACGAAAGGGGAAAAAATTCAAACATTGTATAGTTTTGCTTTTGTTGGCTGAGGTTTTATTTTTGTTTTTGTGGGTTTTTTTTTTTTTTTTAAGAGTGGGGAAAAAAACCTTTGAAAATAAAAGAATTTGACAATTTATTTAAGAAGGTTTCTGAACTTGGCTTCAAAATCTAAGTTTTGTTTTTTGCTCCTTCAAACCAAGATGCCTTCAGGTGTGAAGACTTTGGGTTTTGCACAGCTCTTTATTTTTTCGCACTGGGCAAATGGCTCGTCTCCTGTGCACAGAAAGGGCTGGAAAATATTTTTGTGATTCGAGTGCAGCAGAGAGTCTAGGATTCCAGAGGAAGTGGAGGCCTCCCGTTCCGCACAGGAAACAATCTTCAAGCAGGCCTTAAATGCCAGATTCCAGGCCGAGTTTAACTAACCACTGACAGCTCTGTAAACAAAGCAAGGACAGAAAGAGCCCGCTTCCCCTTTTCTGGTAGTCATTTTGGGTTTGGGGGCTGCAGGGGAATTCTGGAATACTTGACTCCATGGCACAGAAGCGCAGGGGAAACAGGCTCCTCATTTGAAGAGCTGGAAGGGGAAGGTCTTCCCGGAATTAAAACCATCACCGAGGAGGTAGGAAAGGGTAAAATGGTTGGGTTACATCTGTAGAAAGAGCAGTGATTTTAGAGCTTGGAAAACAGCTTGATCACCACTTAACTGCTTTTAAAAATGTTGCTTCATTATGTTTATTCATGATGTGACTGCTGCAGTCTTTATTAAAATCCTGAATGCTGCTTTGAGAATATGCACATTATATGCCTAGATACTGATTTATTTCTCACTTTCACTTTTCTCCTGGTTTCTACATAGTCTTCTTGCCACTTTCTTTTTTGTTTATCATTCCTGTTTTCCTCCTCCTTTGTTCACTTTTTCGTACCTTTGGTCTGGGGTTCAGTAAGTTACAAAGAACAAAATCATTCAGTAAGAATCTCAAGTGATTCTACCACCAGTTCAAGTCTTCAAAACCTCTCTGTCTCCTGAGGTCTTTTTGAAAATATACATCATCTGGAGATTTTACTTATTTGTCTCTAAAAGGTTCATGAAGGAGACTGAATTTAACTCAGCTCAGGAGTCAGAAATTGATCACTGGCTACCTTATCAGCTTTCTGAGTAAAGAAAACTCAGGAGCAATGACAAATGGGAAGGAGGGACCACAGTGACTCAGGAGAGGTAACAGTCTGAGCCATCTGTGATACTGAGTCTACCTCCTCCACTTCAGGTCCAGAAATCATCTGGGCTCCCTGAACCGGAAATAACACCATGGATGATTTTGAACGTCGCAGAGAACTTAGAAGGCAAAAGAGGGAGGAGATGCGACTCGAAGCAGAAAGGTAAGGATCTACGTTGAAAAATACTTGTATTCCCTTGTTGACAATGTTGGTTTCAGGCCTCAAAGACCATCCTTCTGAGAGGCCAAGTGTGGTCATATTATATTGCACGCTAAACTGTTGTTAAAGTAGTTATGGAAAATTTTTCTGCTGAAGCTCTAAATTTGGCATTTGAAAAAGGAAAACAAGGGTCAAGAAAAAGAGATTTGAGAGGAATCAATTGATAATTGCATATAGATAAATTGCATTTAATCAATACCTTTCACATCCAAATGTTTTAAATGACAAAGGTAATGTATGAATAAAGGTTTATATAATACTGAAATGACAGAAAAATGCCAAGTATTGAATATTGGAGCCATTTAGAAAATGAGAGTCTTCAATCTAAAAAAAAAAAAGGCAAAAAGCCCTGGATGAGTCTTGTGAAAAATTTTCATTCTTATTAGAAAAGTATGCAGCTCCAGGGATCTGCATAGTACAGGTTAATAGACTATGTTACTGAGGAGATTCTGGGTGTAATTGGAAGCTGTTAATGTCGCGTGGGCCGCTATAGTGGTGACTATGAGGTCAGATTGGAAAGAGAAAGCGTCGGCATATAAAACCTGGGGCATAAATAGACATTTTAACATTTTGGGCCTCATGACAAAGGACAGTGGTATTTGATGTGTTTTAAATCAGATGTTCTTTCAAGGAAGCAGGTTAGGCATTCACAGAGAGAAAAATGTTAAATAATGACCTTAAAATCAAATCCATTTTGTTCCCAGTAATCTCAATGCACAGATGAAAGATGACTCTTTAGCAATCCCACAGTAGAAAACTGGAAACTTCCACCTATAATGAAAAGTATTGTTCTTACGTTCTACGTATTTGCATCAAGAATGCAAAAGCAAAAGATAAAATGACTGCCTATGATAAACTGGGCCAGAGTCAGCTGACATTCACAAAATGACTGAGCATGTCCACAAGTCACTGTGGATGGTACATTCTGTTGGTTCAAATCCTAGCTCTGCTACTTACAAGCTGTGTGGCCCTGAGCAAGTGATTTCTCCTTAAGCCATAGTCATCTTGTATATAAAGTAGGAATAATATCTACATAGTCTGTGTGGTTGTTGGGAAGATTATTGAGCCTCATAAATAGCCTAGTCAGGTACCTGGCAGGTAGTAGTTTTTCCATAAATGATGGTTTTTCATAAATGATAGCTATTATTGTTACTAACCATTGTCACTAGCCAAAAAGTAAGAAACAGCATAGCAGGATAGCCAGAACTAAACATTGATGCCAGGAGAAGTAAAGGTAGTCATCATCCTGTGATGAAACTTGTCAGAGAAAGTTTCTTGGCCAAGGTGAGCCATAGAGGAGGTAATGATGGTGATGAAGAGGGAAAGGGAGCCTGTCTAGGTGAAGGAATGACACTGGCAAAGTGCAGAAGTGGAAATAAGAATCCTGGTGTGGCTGGGCACAGTGGCGCATACCTGTAATCACAGCACTTTGAAAGGCCGAGATGGGCAGATCACCTGAGGTCGGGAGTTCGAGACCAGCCTGGCCAACATGGTGAAACCCCATCTCTACTAAAAATACAAAAAATTAACCTGGCATGGCAGCACATGGCTGTAATCCAATCTACTTGGGAAGCTGAGGCAGAGAATCTCTTGAACCTGAGAGGCAGAGGTTGTGGTGAGCCGAGATCGTGCCATTGTATTCCAGCCTGGGCAACAGGAGCAAAACTCCATCTCAAAAAAAAAAAAAAAAAAAAAAAAAAAAAAAAAAATCTTGGTGCAAGAAACTTGTTGATTGTTTGAGGGAAAATGGATTGGACTTGTATATCTTGGCTGTTCCTACTTGCCATACAAGGAATAGACAGAAACTTAGCAAGGACGTTATGTGTGATGACACTATGCTGGAGAAACTTATCTACAGGAGACTACAATATAGGGATACCAGCACTGGATGAGATAGTATGGATCATAGGGTAATGAGGGCCTGAATCAGGTGAGTGAGTGTGGAAATGAAGAAAGATCAAATATCAGCGTCTTTACAGGGGGAGAATTAGCAAACCTTTTAAGAAAGCAAAAAACTTACAATTCCAAAGAATATGTGTCTGAGGAGCTGGAAGGAAAATTGCTTTGTCCCAAATGGAGGATTTCCTTCTTGAATGGTCAGAGGAGTAGTGTTTAATTTCAGGTAGAAACCACATCCAAATGGAGATTTCCTGCAGGCATGTACAGATAGGAAATTTTACTCTTTGTTCAAAAAGGGAGAGAAACTATGGTTAATCAATTTGGGCAGACACAGGATGGCGGTGCTAGTACAAAAGCTGAAGGATATTTCCAGAAAAGCAAGCGTAGAAAAAGTGAGAGGCCATAAAGATATAATGGAAACCGTTAAAGAAGACAGTGTACCAGGGAGATGGAGGAGAATGAGGGACGTATGAGGCCCAGTGTTGAGTGGACATGGTGGACATGGAAGTCTTGTGGGCCACTGCTGGGCCTGGTGAAACACGCTTCTTTTTTTTTTTTTTTTTTTTTTTTTCTGAGATGGAGTCTTGCTCTGTCACCCAGGCTGGAGTGCAGTGGCACGACTTCAGCTCACCGCAACCTCCGCCTCCTGGGTTCAAGCGATTGCCCTGCCTCAGCCTCCCGAGAAGCTGGGATTACAGGTGCCCGCCACCCCACCTGGCTAATTTTTGTATCTTTAGTAGAGACGAGTTTTCATCATGTTGGCCAAGCTGGTCTTGAACTCCTGACCTCGTGATCTGCCCACCTGGGTATCCCAAAGTGTTGGGATTACAGGCGTGAGCCACCATGCCTGGCCTGATGCTGTGTTATTTCACCTCTGGTTCTCATGATAGTCTACAAGATGTCTTCATCCAGCAACTATTACTAAGCACGAATCAGGTTTAAGCATCTGTGCTAAGGATGTGAAAAATAACGGTGTTAAAGAAATAGACATTGTTCCTGCCTTTATGTACCCCACAGCATGCCAAGAAACCCAAGTGTAGCAGAATCAGAAAGCAGTCAGGCCAGGGTGTAGGGGCAGGCCCGACAGAGTTGTGGCTAGAGAGGTTCGGGACTGAGGATGTAGACACTGGCATCAGGCCAGATTGGCACTGTCGGCATCTTTGCTTTCTATGTGAACAGGGGGTCAGGGAATCACTGAGAGCAGTGTGACAGAGTTAAATTGCTGTGGTTAGAGCCATACTGCCATTAGAGTGAATAAACTCGGTTTCTTCAGATTCAGGACTTCGCCTAACTTGACTGCACAGCTACATGGTTCATTCCTTCAACTTTTTTGTTTGGTGTGGAAGAATTGTGCCTTCTTTTAATGCCAGATGGAAAAGGAGTGTAGACAGTAAATCTTAGCTATGTAAATAAACTTACACACATTTATCCTGACCTTGTTTAACTTACATTTCTGTCTGTATTACTTCTTTTGGAATATTATATTGTTTTCTTTTCTTTTTTTTTTTAATTCTTTCCTTCCTTTTCTTTCTTGCTTCCATTTGTTTTCTTTCTTTCCCTTTCTCTCTCTCTCTCTTTCTTCTTAAGAAAGAGTAGTACTTACGTATTTCCTTTTACTTGTACTAAGTTTACCTTTCCGTGTTTCAAGGTGAACATCCTAGTTGTGCTGTTCTGAGATTTGGGTAAGCTCATGTCCACCCTTCGGGATTTTGTAAAATCTGATCATTTCTGAGAATAGTGAAAGTCAGGCTTTATGGTTCAGCCAGCTCTGGTGGGAAAGTACAGGGTGTATGCAGGAAACAGGTGGCCAGAAGCAGAAATGAAGGCCATCTAAAATCATGGTTTTGATCTGAAGACAAAGGGCACATGAGACCCCGGGCAAGTCCCTCTTCCTTTAGCTCCAGACTTTGGCTTCTCCTCTAAAATAACACTAGCCATTTTCTCTGGGGCATGGTAGTCATTTTAATTTTCTTCTTTCTTTCTTTTTTTTTTTTTTTTTTTTTTTTTTGCTTTTGGTATTTATTTTTCTTTATAATGATCATATGTTACTTAATTTAAGGCCAAATTAAAATTAAGGCAATTTTCTGTTTTGAAAAAAATAAGTCTACGGCCCTATGCAGTATACCTGGGGCCAGTCAGAAGACTTACCTTCCCTTTGAATATAGGGAACAAAAATAAAGAACTCATCCCTGATCCGGAGGGCAGTAGAGCCAATTACCGGAAATAGAGTGGCTCCGAGGCTCAGAGTTGCAGATTCATTCATTTACTCTCAACACATTTTTACTGGGCATCTATTCCACTACGGGCTCTATTTTGGGTACTGAGAATAGACCCACAGAGTCACAGTGTCGGGAAATGTGTGCTTAGTGCTTTTCACCCTATTTAAATCAAGTAAAGATCAAGAAATTATACTTTTATATCCTCAAACATAACGTACCCCATATGGCTTCATACTTATTAAAAATGACCCACATCCTTTGTATACTTTACCCAGACAGTGTGGGGGAAGAGAAGGGTATTACAGAGAAGAGAAAGTCCATTGACTTTCCTTACCCATAAAAGCTTTCCAAATAAAAATACCATGTTATTTTAATTTAATTAGTACTGAGTTTGATTACCAGGTGAAGTTTTACTTTGAAATGATAAATATTTAAAATTTGTACTTTCACCTGGTGTTATAACCACAGATTAAAATAAACTGAATTTTTACACATTTTATTTCTCAGAAATAGACCTTTTCATAGACTGTTTTGCAAGCTAATTGCAGGCTTTGTGCCATGCTGGCTTTCATGTATTTGGGACTGGCGTTTACTCACTGCATCCAAGCTGCCCGAGACTCTGCCGTCCACATATCTCCTTCTAACAGTTTAGCCTGGTCCATTTCAAATAACCTCGACTGCAAACTTAGTACATCAAAAATGTTCTTCCAGCCAGTCGTGGTGGCTCATGCCTGTAATCCCAGCACTTTGGGAGGCCAAAGCAGGTGGATCACTTGAAGTCAGGAGATCGAGACCAGCCTGACCAACATGGTGAAACCCCATCTC